GAAAATCAATCCTACAGATACGGTTGAAATCCTCAAAGAGAAATTATTTGCTGTTATGAGCCGCTACTATACAGAAAATAATTAAACAGCACCCAATTCACACAAACATGTACTTTTTTCACACAAACATGTGCGCTCTTCATGAAAACATGTACATTTTTCACGCAAACATGTGCACTCTTCACGCAAACATGCGTGCACTTCATGAAAACATGTGCATTCTTCACGAAAACATGTGCACTAAAGCAGGCTTGGCGGGGTTGCGGGCAGCGCTAACCTAATAGGCACCGTTGTAAAAATACCTGGACCGGTTAATTTTTAAATCGCGCAGCAGGCCGGATTTGGGGCTGATGGTGATATTAAATCCTTTTGACTGCCCGGAGTATACATTGATGGACATCTGCCAGCAATGCAGGTTGCGTGAGATAAACGCGGTAACATTCTGAAGCCCGGATCCGTTGAAGTCGTAGTAAGTACTCATGCCCACTTTCCATTGCGGGGTGAGGTTAAAATCGCCGCTGAGGTTAAGGTTAGAATTAATGATGGTCTGGTAACCGCGGTAATCTGAAGTAAAGCTGCGGTTAAAATTGAGTGAGTACGAGATATTCACACTCCAGTCTATATTAAAATCGGCAAACTCTGCCGGGTTGCTCCTTATGTATTGCAGCTGCGCCTGCTGCTCTTCCAGTGTAAGCGGACGGCTGTTATTCTGCGCATTGGCAAAAGCAGAATTGGCCGTAGAATCTGCTTTCTTGTCTTTTGGTTTGCTTTTAAAAGAAGTAGACACAGCAAGGTTTCCATTGGTAATATGCCCCAGACTGAACTTCTGATTATTGCTCCCGCTCCACGCGTATGCATCTATCGGACGGCCGGTTTTGGCATCGCGCTGGTAAGGATCCAGGTTAGCCCCTGCCGTTATATTTATCTTCTCAAACAGGGTACTGCGCAGGTACAAAGAAATATTAGACAATTTAAAGGAATCTGCAATCAGGTTATAGCTGCCATTAAAACCAAACCCATCAATCAATTTCACTTTTTTTATACCGGCTTCCGTAGTATCTGTCTTTGAACGTAATTTCATTTCAAGGTTATTGTCCAGTCCAAAACCTATACCACCAAACTTCTCTCTTGTAAGCGAACCATAAATACTTCCCTCGTACTTGGATATCCAGGGAGACTTTGTTCCTATACTGTCAATTACTGTCTGATAATAGTCGTTTTTGGCAAGGCCGGGGTTATAACTGGCGCTGAAACTGGGCCGCATGACATGGCGTATGGCCATTACCCGGCTGGTCTTTTTAAATTCGTGTGTGCCAAATATGGCGGTGTTTACACCCAGGCTGAAAGACACATCGCTTGAGCGGTAAAAGCCTTTATCTACAATGTTTCTCAATGTATCCTTCACAAATTTATTGGAGGTATCCAGGTACCTGGTTATCCTTCTTGAGTACCAGTTCTCGCGGTAGGAAACGCCGGGGGAAATCTGGAATGGTCCCAGGGCCGGTAATGCAATGGTAATGGGCACACTGTGCTGAGCGCCCCATTGGGTGGTATCCAGCAGGCGGCGAAAACTGAACAGCGAATCATATACGGAAGCCTGGTTGGCAATATTGGTATTTAAGCCAATCCCCAGTTTCTCCCACCATTTGGGTGTACCCACCATTTCTTTTTTCTGCAAAGGATAGAGGGTATTTACCGTAAAGCCTACGGTGGGCAGGTTCAGGTTTATAAGGCCGGTATTATTGTTCTGGCTGTGGTTGGCCGTAACCGTAAGGTTGTATTTATTGTTCCAGTTTTTTGAATAGGCAATGGAAGAGCTTAGCTGGTTCTGGAAAGTACGGGTGGGGTTTGTAACCTGGAACTGGTTGTATTTCTGGCTGCCGGCATTTACATTGGCAGAGAAAGACTGGCCGGGCCTGGCCTTGCTGTCTACACTATGGCTCCACGAAATATTAAAGCTTTTGTTGGAAGTAAATTCCTTGGTACCAAAATCGCTCAGGATTTTAGTATTCTGGTAACTGAAGGTGAGCGAGCCCTGGTAGCGGTACTTTACCCTGTAGGTGGGCGTTATATTCAGCCGGTAGCCACCGTACGAGTAGATGTCCCCCCGCAGCATCACGTCAAAATAATCATTC